CATGAAATAAACATAAAAAACAAAAATCAGGAAAAATTCACATAGTTAAACTATTCCACATGCTATGGGAACATTTGTTCACTTAGGTGCTTATAATTTCCTCACTAGTAATGGATTTTTGTAGGTAAAATTCAATTTTCGAACGCGTTCTTAATAAACTGGTGGAATAATAAAATTAAACATGTGTTTGAAAAGTCTGGTTGAAAACATAGTAATTTTGATCTTCTTGGTCATATTTTCCACATAAAAGTTGATCTCACAACTAATAATGTTCGTCTATGAGACATTTTATCGAACAGTTGGTAGGAAAAATGAAAAGGTGATCCATATAAAAGTGGATCAAAAAGGCCTTTTACAAAAAAGATGGGTCCATCAACGGTATGTGAACGTTTTCACAGTTAAAAACGCTCTGCTTCATGAATGAGCCGGCCCATATAGCAGTTCTATCAACCAAAAGGCCCATTTAGATAATTAGACACAGTCTGGGCTAAGATTGGGCCAAAATATTTAGCCATATAGTAAAGCCCATCAACTAGTGTAATTTCATTAGTTGGTTGGAGAAAATTTATTTTATTGAAATTAAATAATAATAAATATTATTCATTTTTTTAAACTAAATGCTAATAAATATATATTCATTTTATCCATTATTTTGAACAATCTACTAACTCAATAGAAAATTAAATTAATTAAGTATTATTATTATTACGTATTTTCTTACCAAGAATATTATCTACTTAATTTTATATAATTAAAAAATATATAAATTGTACCTCCCATTTTCTATAATGATAAACATGATTTCCCTCTATTCGAGGGAATATGGAGAGGCTGTGAATTGTGGTTGAAGTTATGGATAATTACGAATTAAATTTAGTATGCAAAATGTTCTTCATAAAGTAATGGCTAACCAAATGGTACTGATTTGAGTCACTATCACAAGCAACGTACATATAATGTTGCCTGTTAATTTACTTTAAATGATAACACAATAGATAAATACACAACATCAACCAAAATCAGGTACATTCGAGATTTTTAATTTTTTAGTCACTATTTTTTTTTTCGATTCATTTCATTTATTGCAATGTCCTTTTTACAAATGTTTACAAATCATTATGATATGTTACTTTTCTTTGTAATGTCGTTCTAAGTTAAACTCATTTCACTTTGAGATTATTCTTTCAAATCTATTTACAACTTCTTCTTTAAAAAAAAAAATCATAATTTGAATATACTATAAAATCTTGATAACCATTACTAGGAAAGGTATAATTAAATATATAACTTAAAAAGATGCAATAAAAAATATACTTGGCAAACACATTTTAATTCTAATATAAATTTATTTCTNCTTGATTTTCAATTCAATTCCAGTTCAAGAATTAAATCTTTTTATTGCGCGAGCTGATGATTTTCCTCTGCCCCATAGAATGAGTTTCTCTCTAAACCTCCATCGATTTCCCTTTTTTTATTCCATGTTTTTGAGAGAAAATCTATATCTGGGCGATTAGTTTCTGCAATCGTTAATTTATATTTCGTGAACTGCTTTTCTCCATTTTTTGCTGTCTTTCGTTTTCGTAAAGATCGAATCTTTTTCACGAACGCGTGAGCTTGTATGAATTTTTTTAATGTGGGCCTTTTTTGTTGTTGTAACTTTATCTTTATTTTTGGTTCCTTTCTCTTTGTTATGGATTTCCTGCATTTCTGATTCCTTTGAACAAGATTTTGAGATTTTTTTCTAAATTTTATTCTAAATCATATAAATTATTTGGTATTTGGGTTTTTGTATATTAGCTGTATGTAAATCATGGCTGTGAACAAAGAGTATTACGAGGTACTAGGAGTTGAAGTGGATGCCTCTCGTGCAGAGATCAACAAAGCTTATTACCATAAGGTGAGGATTTTGAGAAAAAAAAAAATGATTTCAAAATTGATAATATTATTCTCAGTTTATATTATTGTTTGCCTTGTGATGAAGTGAAGAACTGCTGATTCAATTTTACAGACTATATATATTTCCCTAACAGTTAGGTCGACCAGCCAGATCTTTTTTAAATAAACATGCATATTTATGCTATGAAATATCGAACCTTTGTTTATGTTGATTTTTAGAATATGACATTTTAATTTGAAATTATGTATGTATTTTGAAAAGGTATGGTTGTCTGATAGACCTGCCTAACAGCTTTACTGATTTTTCCTAATATTGAACTCAAGCTATATAGCTTCTTNAAAAAAAAAAAAAAAATTAAAAAAAAAATTAAAAATAAAAAATAAAAAATTAGGCTGGATTTAAGGTATTTATTTTGGAGTTGAGCTGATTTTCTACTCTTGGTGATGATAACTGAAGTTAATAGCTAGTAACTTGACGTGTGATGATAATTTTCTTTAGTTAGTATCTTAATATGATCTTTACTCTTTTTTCAAACTGAAACCGGTCGAGAAGTCTTTCGTAATGATAATGAAATATTTGGAATAACATTTATTGTTTTCAATACTAGGCAAAAGAGGTTCATCCTGATAAAAATCATGGAGATCCAGAAGCTGCTGCTCGAGATTTTTGTGTAAGTTTACGCTTCTTTTGTAGAGGAAATTATGTACATTTTTCTTTATTTCATTTAGCATATCACGTATTGATTGTATGCTTTGAATTTAAATTGTATCAGTTCAAAAACAACTGATATAAGCTGATAGGAATTTTCATATCTGTTGTAAATGTTCATTCGTGTTGTTGTGGTAACCAGAAAGCCCACATTTTGGCCTTTTTTTTCTCTATTTGAACGATTATAGAGATTTAATGCAGTATTTTGTAAGTTATCTATTTTCTCCTGGTGTAGTTTGAAAATACATGCATATATTTTGTAAGAATTGGCATTGATGTGCTCCTTTCTCTCGATTTTTCTATGTTCGAGTCCTGTATTTCTGTAAGATTATTGGTAGTGCACAAAGTATCATCATTTCAAGTGAGGAGCAATATTCTTATATGATGTTTATTCAGTATAACATTTTTCCTTAAAATTTTTGTGTCAGTTCTTAAAAACGAAATAAATTTCAAGCATGTATATTTTGTTTTGAGTGATACACCTTTTTGTCTTGCAAATTCTAAGCATGTATATTTTTTAATATGAATTACATTTTTTCCCTTTCGTATTTAGTTTTCTGAAATCGTTAATGATAATCCTTTCATATTTAGTTATTAGGTGAGGCTTATCAGATACTAAGTGACCCCGAAAAGCGAGAAGCGTATAACAAATATGGAAAAGGGGATTCGACCAAGTAAGTAATATTCCGAGCAAAATTTAAAGTCAAATCCTAGACTACAAATGAAGAAATTGAGTTTAAGAAAAAAACAGGGCACAACAACTTTGGACTTATGAAAAAACTGACTTTTTTCGTAATTGTTTTCTGATTTTTTAAGGAACTCTGTCATTGATCCAACTGTTCTATTTGGAATGATGGTAGAAAACGATACTTTCGAGAATTATGTGGGGCAGCTTTCTTTGCTTTCACCGCCCTCTGAATTTGATCCGAATTTACCCCCAGAAGTTCAAAAACCGAAACTCGAGAAGATAATGAAGGTTTTACTTGATTCCTTTTAAAAAATTTCTGCAAAATGCCTTTTCAGTTTTCACCTAGTGTGGGATAATGAGTGATTAGCGCTTTTTTTTTACCTATTTACGTGAAGGCAATGCAAGAGGAAAGAGAAGAGAAACTTATAAATATTCTGAAAAATAATCTCGAACCATATGTAAAAGGGCAAAAGGATGAATTTTTGGAATTGGCAAATTCGGAAGCTCACCGTCTTTCCCAAGCTGGTATGTATGTCTCTGTTTTATCTTCTTAGTGTTTTTCTACAATACTAAATTATTTTTCCCTCTTTTTCTTTTTCTTTTACAACTTATTAAACCGATATTTAATATCCATTTTCTCATAAATATTAGATGGAGAGAGATCAGCAGCAACTGAAGTTATTTTTTCGAAAACTTGAGATAATTTTTATTGTGACATAATATCCTGTTGAGGAAGTAAATTGGCAGAAGCATTTATAACTGCAAAAATGTTCATTGAATTGTGTATTTGTGTGCTCATTTTACGTTGTTTTTCCAGCTTTTGGCCAGGCCATGTTGCAAACAATCGGGTACATCTACTCGAGGCAAGCTGCAAGAGAAATTGGAAGGAGAAAGTGCTATATGAAGGTTCCTTATGCTGCAGAATGGGTTCGGGATAAAAAACACTCTAGAAAGACGAAAAAAAGAGCAACTAAAGGTGCCCCGAAAATTTACACTAGCTTTTTTTGACGATATTAATGATTTAACAAATGTCTGCTAACAATTGGGAGAGTTGATTGTCAGCTTTTAGCTCTTTGCTTTCGATTTTTGCTTTTCTTTTTTGAGAATTCTATTGATTCTGCATAATTTAGGGGTATTTGAAACGGATCATTGTGTTCGACCTTCTGTTTTTTTCTACATATTATTAACGAAATAGATTCTTCACGATTCATTGAGGGCTTGCTTGTTTTTTTTTTCTTTCTTTTCTGTTTTGATCAGTTTTTTTTGGTTAATCATGGTTACTTTTGAGAAGTAGGTTGGGTAAGGTTTGAGTGGAATTTTGAGTTTGTATTAAAATAATATTTAAAATAAAATATTAAAGTTGATTTGATGTAAAAGTAGGAGAAAAATGATGTGAGTGATGGTTAGTTAAAATTATGTGAGTGAATTAATAGTGAATTAAAGTTGGTGTGATGTGTAAGGATGATTGATTGATTTTATTTAATGGGTAATGCTATAAGTACATAATAGTGTACATAAAGGTGTACATAACACTCACATTAAGTGGGTCCTACCAAAAATAAAAAATCAAGTGGACCCCACTCCATGTGAGTGTTATGTACACTTACATTTATTATGTACATTATGTACATGTAGCATTTTTCTTATTTAATTATATTGATAATATTGAGGATAGTGAGGTAGAGTTAAAGTTGAGTTGGATTTTGAATTGGATTAAGTATGGAATAAAAATTTATATCCAAGCACACACAAATATTTATTTCCGCGACTTACTTTCAATCGTGTTGAAATAACTCTCTTC